GGCCGGTGTCCTGCCGGCGGCTCGTACGCGTCATTAACCTTTGTCATTTGCAGCCCTTTTGCCCTCCTAATTTACAGACTCCATGCACACATAGATTCACACACAGCGCATAGTTAAATGTTAAACAAGAAAGTATGGCCACCGGTGAAAGTTTTATGAGCACATACTTCTCTTTGGCGTCGCGCTGAATGCTAAATGCAGCCGTTCGTGGCTTAAGTGTGACATCACAGACCCACATGCGAGCAGACAAACAAAGAGTTGAGTTTTAAGGATGGTACACAGTGGTGGCAAAATAACTAATAGGTATTTAAACATACTTGATAAACTAGTACTGAAAACAACATGAGTAGCAAGTAAGAAAAACTCATGTAACAAAGTTGAGTTTTTTTGTAAGGTACGTATGTGCCAACCAGTATGTGCCATCGTCCCCTCATTCTCGGGCATGTGTCTTACCCAAGGACACAATTACAGTTTGTCAAACAGCTGCGTTGTTTTGAGAAGCATGAAACAGGAAGTTCTCACGCTAAGACAGGAACCAGGAAGTGGGCAGGAGCTGTACACAGAGCTTTTTCGTCCACGCCATTTTAGATTTAATAAAGTTATTTCACTAGATGGTAGTATTGGCAAATTTTACTCATCTCTTGCTTTGCTGATTATTTTTATTCATATATTTAACACAAACAATGGGTAATAGTGAATCCAGGACTTTTAAGGACATTTATGGTCATCAATCATAGTGAGATGAGACAGATGATTATTTCTCCTTATCAGGTGTAATATTAAAACTGTGCCCCTCTTTCCATCATCAGACAGCGATCAATAAAGAGATAAGGTTTTAGATGTAGACTTATGCTGCTTTTTCTATCAAGTACCATATCAATCCCTTCTCCTTTCCGATGTGAAAAATGTGTTTTAATGGCAGGAAAACTATATGGACTCAGATGAAGGAATTACACAGATTGAAATTAGGCTAATTCTGAATTTCTGACTTTGTGTGTATTTGTTAACATATACTTCCTGAATGCCAACAATGTTAAAGTGGTTTATGGAAGAAATGCAATTGCAGAATAATTAATGCATGGTTATGGGGCTCCTCTGTGCTGCGTGTGCTCATCAGATTATAATCCTGATTAAAATCCACAGAATATATGTGTATGTTGTGTTGTTGTAGCATGTGGACAGGGAGCGGCTTCACCAGATGAGCTCAAACAGGAACATACCAAAGTTTTATTTTGGGCCTGTTTGTCATGCAGGAAGGACGGTGTGCAGCGACCGCATCCAAATACAAACAAACGAAAGCCTGTATCTCCTCACAGCTGCATACATTACACCGCCGTAATCTCCCCTTTGTTTTCGCACTTGTCCTTTTCAAGTTTCCTCTTATATTTGAGAGGATTTGGAGATTATAACAAGTGCTGTTCAACACAAAATATCACAATTAAAGCTGGGGTACCTAACTTTAAAAACACAACATTGGAACTATGGAATATGGAAGGGCCAATGGCACATTCTGGTTGCCTGGCTTCTGTCAGTGTGCCTCAGGGCAGTTGCGGCTACAGTAGTAGTTTATCACCACTGTGTATTGAGTGAATGAATAATGAAGTGCCTTTGAGTGTTCAAAAAAGTATTATATGAAACCAATGCTTGTATTTTTTAAATTATTTATATATTCTTATTAAACCATGTAGCTAGTCTCTATTGCTTTCAAACTGTTCCATCTCTAGTTTTTAAGATCCAGACTGAAATCAATGAAAAGCAGAAAACATCTCTCAACTTCTTGCTTTTTCTTCATCAAAAAAAAATATATTTTTTTTTTCTCCCAACAGATATAGTCAACCTTGCAATCAAATCCGACCACAAGAGGCTGTTTCTTTACTATGAAAAAACACATTTCATATTGTGTGTACTTTTAAGAAAGAGCCCTTTGAGTCACTGTTTGACACTTTGGGGTAAGAGCTGATTGGCTTAGTTGGGTGCGCTCTTTTTCATTTTTTCCTTGTCTGAAAAACCTGACCGAGGCCGATAATTACATGTACAGTATGAGAAAACTAAATAGAAATGTTTTGAGAGCAAGACAAATTGTTTTACATAGTCAATGTGTTTATGCTTTGAAAGTCATGTACCCCAACTTTAAGTAACAACTTTAACCCTGTAGAACCCAGACATGAAAAAGATTATCAGTGCTATTTTTTGTAATTCAATAACTAATTATATTTTCTTCTTTGGGTTCTTGGGCACATACACTGGTTGATGCATTAAACCAAAAAGTCACACGTCTTTTGCAATAACCGTTGAACTTTATGCTGCATATTTAGTATAACCGTGGGTGCTACGGGGCTAACTCATTTGGATATTTTAAAACACTTTGAAGCAACTGCGGTTAAAGCTGAATTCATCATTATAACACTTGCTGGAGCTGGTGTCTTTCCACCTCATATCTAACGGTTGAAGTAACTGTCACCGTGGCAACTGCTGATTGGACTGTCTAACCTATAATATCACTTACATTCTCTAAAGCCTTTGTTCGTGTCTCGTCTCGACCATCGACAATAAAACATGCCTTCTGTCTGTGCAACACGATCCCAGACTTTGTCATTTTCCTCACTGACAACTTATTTTTTCCCTGGTATCATTGTCCGTATGCTAAACAGGTTCAAGTCCAGCCCAAAAGTTTGACATAAAATTCACATAAAGTTTGCTGTTATGGCAAACGTATTAATATGTACATTTTCACACCACAAATTTAAATGTGGCCATGCTGTATAATCGCACAATGAATTATAAACTTCGTCCACTACATGCCTCAGCAAATTGTAAGCCCAGTCCTCGCTGTGCAGCCACCTTTGAGTTAAACAGACCATAATTGGGGTGAGGGTAGTTTTGGTCGTGCATGTGGCTCTTCTCTGCATGGTCCTCACGTCTGTTGGCTTCGGCGACGGTGTGTGATTGATGAACGGGGTTTTTTTTGTGTGTGTAGGGTTTTGCCCACTGTGCCGTGTTCCCCGACTCAGGGACTGACAAATGACAGGGGTGGCCTGGAGGGAGCGGGCGAGCCAGGTGCATGCTGGGACTGATATAGAGTGTGAAGCAGTGTGTATTCTCTCATTCACACTCAGACTGACGGCTTAATGGACACGCCACGAAGGGTCACAGAGAGAGGGGAAGAGAGAGAGAGACTGACTGGCCGGTTTGAAGTTTGGCGGTGTTAAAGCAAAAAAAAAAAAAATCTGTAGTTTTGTTTTCAGCTCAGTGAAAATTAATAATAATATTGATAAAAATGATGATGATAATAAAAATAATGATAATATTATTATTAACAATTTAATGTCTTTGGTGCCTTTCTAGACACAGTACATTTAAAAACAGTTAAAATACAAAGTTAAAAACAGCCTGAACATATAATGGTGTAGTAATAGTAAATATAGATTATTGGAAGCATTTAATTTCTTATCAAGAAAATACTGTATGTAAGTAGTCTTGTATGAACTATTTTAACCTCATAATATTTGTACCCAATTAATGCAAGAATCTAAAGTGTTTTTAGTTCCAAAAGAAAAAAAATAAAGTTGTTAACTTGGTAACATATAACATTATGGGAATAAATCAAACCACAACATCTTTGTAAACAAGTTTACAAAAACATGATTACAAAAAACAAATATTGCCTAATACTCTTTGAGACAATATTTGTCGCTTTGGGCTGAGAGCTGATTGGCTCGAGTCATAACAATGTGACAGAAGCCAACATTACATGCTAAAACTACAGGAATAGGACTAAAGAGCTTTAGAGCCAGAAACCATTTACAATACATTGATTATAAAACAGAGATAGTTTTCAAGATTAAAAAAATAAATACCTCAGCTTTAACAATCAAAGTTTCACCTCAATCCATTACTCATGTTTGAGGGGTGGATTTCCTCCAGGTGCTCTGGTTTTCCCTGCCACCCACAACATGCACCAGATGAAAGTGGCTGAAGTGAAGTGGCGTTGTAATCAAGTCGTCTGTTAAAGTCAAGAGTTTTTAGATCTTAAAAAGTTAAAACCAGTTACGTTGTTGCAGTTTGCAGTCCATTATGGTTTTCTGAGTTGGAACTATACTTTACCAGTGCCTCAAGACATGTGCCCAGTGCCAAGTTTTTCACAATGCTCTGGCTGATTTCTTTTGAGATATATGGAAACAAACTGAAGGAAAGCACAAGCTCCTTCTGACAATGAGAGTAAGATTTTAGAACCATGCTTTAAAAGGCAAGGCAAGGCAAGTTTATTTTTTTATTAAGGCACTATGTTTATTAAGGCACTCATTTTTGTCACTTTTTGTCTAGTCTTTACTCTATTTTATTTTGGGAACAAGCACACAGCAACTTGTCAGTCTTATTAAAATATTGACAGTTTTTTTATGCCATACAATTTCATACTTGTTCATTCATTTATCTTACTGTTTCATGAGTCCTCCCTCAGTCTTCACCCCAGATTCAGTCCACTGTGTCAAAATTATGCTTTCAATTAGGTGGAAATTCACATTACCAGCAAAAAATCCCCTGTGATTTCTCTCTTTTTCTCCAGATTGTCTTAAAGAGTTGGCAACGTGTTGGATGTCTAAGACAAGACAATTCCCGCGGGAAATTAGTTCTTTTGAGGCTTCAGTGAGCACCAGCCAGAATGAACTGAGACAAACAGTAAATTGGACACACATTCTCTAACTGGCAACAGATGATATGTTATGGCCACATTCTAATCGATAAGGATAAGGATCAAAAGATAATTGTGGTTGTGTGTTTTTGTTATTATTGATTTCAACTTTATTTAACCGGAAAACTAGCAGATAATAATCAAACTCCACATGTGTTATAATTTCGGCCTATTTCTGATTAAAGTGGACATTACAAGAGTTTCACCTACATACCACCTATCCCCACCTAGAGAACGAAATAACACATTACTCTAGATAAGTAAGGAAGATAAGCCATCCTCCATACTTACTTGCGCCTACTGCCCTTCCATGGGCATAGGCTGCCAACAAGAGATCTCCAAAAGTGTCTCAATCTTGGGCTCTCTGCTCCAGCTGTCTCCATGTATATCCCATCCTCTTGGTGTTCCTGGACCGTCCTCTGTTTCTTTTGCCTCGGAGGTTCCAGGTCAGCGCTTGTCTGAAAATTAAGCCTTTAAAAAGTAAATGCCTTTGGGGAGATACCTGGGAGATGGTGGCTAAAGGTTGGAGACCCCAGTATGGATCATTATTTATCAGTCCATCCATTTGCATCCCCTTTAATCATTGCTGGGTCATGGTGGCAGCGGTCCAAGCGAAAACGCAGAGACTTCCTTAGCTATTAGGGCTCAGGTGACTTTACTCGTACCTGTTGGTGGATATGTTTTGCAGCTATAAAAACTGCTTAGGCATCACTTTACAAACACAAGTGTATAAGTGTGTTTAGATACGCTCTGTTTTCAAGCATATTTGTTGATGGTTCCCAAACTACTACCGGCGATACACAGATATCTCTCCAATCCAATTATAAAACTGACTCTTCCATTTATTCATTTTATTGAATATGTTGGTCCTCCGTTCCAGTTCAGAATTACTATAGAAATGGTGCACTCATAGGCACGATCTCCAACTGTTTGTTTGGTCTTTGCTCTTATAGTAAAGGGAATCAGAAGTAAGGAGTGATAATAAATGCATTGATTGCGGCAACTTCACAGAATGATGAATTTGATTATTTCTGCCATGTTTTTGAGGCACCTTCTCTGCTTGTATGAGTTTTAGTTGACCTCTTAATAGATGTTTCATACATGTAGGAGTAGATATAGGGTTTTTGAGGGATTTAGTTTTAGTGGGTTGGCGATGAGGGGGGTCTACAAGGTGTATGGTGTCCCTGTATGCATTCTTGCATACAGTTGGTGTTACTTAGGAGGACACAATGTATACTTGGAAAGGACTTCATCTGGAAAAAAACATAAACTTTATGACTATATGTTTTCCGTCCTTCAACATTTATGGTGCAATGTGTCACGGAAATCAAAGCAAGCGTCACAGAGCTTTGAAACAAGTGCTGATTGACCGCGGAAGATTTTTATTTTCTGTTTGAAAAAGCTGCTCTAATGCTGCATGTGACCATTGTTTCAGTTGTGTGTCAACAGCTTTAGACAAACAGGTGGAATTATTGGTTCGCAATGATGGAATTTGGTCTCAAAGTCAAAGAGTTCCTCGGACCTATTCTTCTTTACTTTCTCTCTTTGTTTTCCATTTTCCCACGGATCCTTGAAGATCACCTTTTACATTTGTCCGAAATGTTTAGATCCCCATATGCACTCACTCCTCTTGTATTTTTGTTGGAAGTCAGAATACCCTTACCTTACTTTTTTATTTCTTGCAAAATAGCTGATTTTTGTAAACAAATCAAGGTTTCATCGACATTCTGACCTGCCGAGCAAACTTGTTTCATACAGTTTTTCATTACTGTGAGGATTATGAGATTATGCTGCTGCTCAAACGCTGCATGTGACCATACATTTATCAGTTGCTTCTCAATTGTTATTGGTCGCAATAATGGAATTTGGTCTCAATGCGCCTTCAACAATAAAGGATTTTTATATTTAGTGCCTCAGACCTTTGCCTTATGGTTTTCCATTTTCCCACGGATCCTTGAACAGAAACTTTACATCCTACTTTTTTTGTTATCCCTGTATGCACTCACTCCTCTTGCATTTTTGTTGGAATTACTTAGTCAGAAAAACCTTGCCTTATTCTCTTTTTTTCTTGCAAAATAGTTGATTTTTCAACACAAATCAAGGCTTCATCGGCATTCTGACCTGTTGTGCAACTTTGTTTCATAAATGTCTACATAACTGTGACGTCTTATCGAAACCTTTTTGACTTTTTCAGATCATGCTGCTGACCGACCCTGAGGTGGAAAGCAGTTTGTTGATCAGCTCGGACGAAGGCGCCACGTACCAGAAATATCGGCTGAACTTTTACATCCTGAGCCTGCTCTTCCACCCGGAGCAGGAGGACTGGATCTTGGCCTATAGCCACGATCAGAAGGTCAGTGAGCAGCTCCTCTCGGTTTGGTCCGGGGTTTAGACGGGGGCTTGGCAGGTTCTTACCGCTTCAAACGCCTCAAAAGAAACGAGTGTAAGTCCAGATAAGCAACAACAGGGAGCTGGTGCAATGCCTCAAAGTGAAGTGAGAGAGATTCCGTTACACAAGAGTTCAGAGCAGGTACAGAGTGGAGCAGACATAAAATACTGTTTTTATAGAGGCTGATGAGGTCTGAGATAGAAGTATTACTATTTGGAATGAGTTCTGTGGAGAGTACACATGTATGATCTAATGCATATTTCAGAAAAGTATCCAATCTACCAACCCCTTGTAGATCTGTTGTCTAGAAGTCTGCGATTACATTTACATCTCTTGAAACCCGAAGAAGGCTTTAAAGATGACTTATCAGGCAATCATTGTTGGCTGTTAAAACTGATGATACATTTTAGATTTTAGAATGTGAAATAATATCTTAAGGAGAATATACTTTATAAATTGAAACAAGTATCGAGTGTAAACTGCAGGTGGAAATGAGATGTGTAGCTATTGTATAATCTGGTGCAAAACATATCAATCAATCAATCAACGTTTATTTGTAGAGCACTTTTCCTACACAAGGCAACGCAAAGCGCCTCACAACCCATATTACGTTGCATAAATCATAAAACATTAGAATATAAATATACATTTAAAAAGACATTAAAAGCACTAGATATATTCAAAACATAAAAAATAAAAACACACAAGTTAAAAACCGTAAAACATTAACATTACACATGGGATTAAAATCATAAATAGTCATAGAGCAATAAAAAGATTAAAGATAAAAACAAACAAAAATCCTTCAGTATGTGTGCTCTGTCCCTTCTGAATAAAGACTAAACCAGATTTAACAATGCGATTCACCTGTAACTCCCTTTGCTACCGCCATCAGGAGAAGTAGCATTTTTTGTTGTTGTACATATTTGAAAATTACTGACTGCAATCACAGAATGCGATTTCATTGAACTTAATTTCAAATGATAAATTCATGGGAAATTGTGAAATAAAAGGCCAAAAACTGCTCTGAGTGTGATTTGTCATGGTAGTACAATGACATCATACCATTACAGGACTGAAGCTGGAGCTTTTAGACAGAAGTGGCAAAGTTACATGTTTGTGCCAGAAGTTCAGGATACTAGCTTGGAACTCTTGTCTTTTAAATCAGTGATATTCAAACTTTGCACATTGTCTGGGCTACATCCTGGGGGTGATTTATATTCATAGATAAATAGCAACCATTTGACATGTAGCACACATAAATATGAAGACCCAAGGACATAAATTTCAACCTTCCCAAAACTCACCCGAGTCCTTTTGCATCATTGAATCACACTTCTGTGGTCCAAGGCTCAAAAAAGCTATATTTTTTAAATACCTAGAAATACACAACTTACAAGGGTTCTCAAACAGTTCACATCAAGTACCACTGTATAACATGGATAAGAGCTGAGAATCTCTGGATCCCTCATAATACGTTCAACAATGTAGAACAGAACAATACATAAAGATGACCACATATGCAGAATATGAGCAATAAAGAAAACATAGGATGGGACATTTTATGATATATTGTAGCGTCTTTGCTCGAGGTAATGAACTTTACTCCAAGATCTCAAGATGGCTACTGTTGGCTGTAACCAAGGCAATACAGCTCACAAATCCAACCAAAACAGACAGCCTGTCAGTAGTCCTGAACAATAGTGTTCAAATACAAAACATCAGGTAAGAAACTTCCAGAGAGAGAGACCAGAGAGAGAGACCAAAGAGAGAGACCAGAGAGAGAGACCAGAGAGAGAGACCAAAGAGAGAGACCAGAGAGAGAGACCAGAGAGAGAGACCAAAGAGAGAGACCAGAGAGAGAGACCAGAGAGAGAGACCAGAGAGAGAGACCAAAGAGAGAGACCAGAGAGAGAGACCAGAGAGAGAGACCAGAGAGAGAGACCAAAGAGAGAGACCAGAGAGAGAGACCAGAGAGAGAGACCAGAGAGAGAGACCAGAGAGAGAGACCAGAGAGAGAGACCAGAGAGAAAACTCAGCGTTTACCAGTATGAAGAATATTCCACCGGTCCAGGGTCAACATTGTGAGTAGTTCCTTTATCTTAGAGATTGACCTGCAAAAGAAAATTCTCTTCCATTCATTCCACATTTCAGCCTGAACCTTTTACATTTTACATCTACTTCCCCTGAAAGCCACAAATCCCAAACGTTCTGTTGCACTGTGTATAAAATAGAAAATCGCACATCATTTCAAATATGGAAACTTTTACCTTTTGAATTAATTTTAGGATTTACAAACACAGCGCAGCGAAACAAGGCGCATGTCAAGTCAAATCAGAAATCTTTTGTTCTATTTTCCCCCTGAATAACAGCCAGTGTGAGTGAAAAATAGATGTATTACTTTCACATATGAAGACAGAGGAGCCTTGAGCTGGAAGTCAGAATCTGCAAACAGGTACATATTGATTGGCAGCATGTAGTTGTCGTGCTAAATGTGGTTCTTCTTCTATAAATAAAGAAAATGAATAGTGGAAAAAGGTGTGAGTTGAAGAAAAGGCTAAGGATATGGATTCCAGGGGAGCAGTGGACCGCACCCCCCTTGAGGAGAGTCTGACCAATGTATTGAGTTTTGTAGCAGGTGTGCGGCGCAAGCGTTCATCTGAAAATTAACAAAAAATGTGTATTGAGAGTTCAGCCTTCAAATTGGAAGAAAGTACAATTTTGCATAGAATTTAAGTTTTTATGTAGAGTGATACTTTTTAGCGTTAGTTTTTTGCTGTAATTATTGGGTTAAATTGATATTAAGTGTATTTCATGAGACAATTCACTTCATAATATTAGCCAAGACTGATTCTCAATTTCTCAACTTAATGCACTTTATTTTTTTCTTTTTTAAATGTTTTTATTGTATTGTTTGTTTGGTTGGGACAGTACATGTTAATGAACACATCTCTCCGGATTGTAGCCTAGGGATGTAAAAAACTATGCATTTTCATGACCGACCACCGAGCCTCATTAACCGGTTGAAACCGGTTAACCGCGTAGTTTAAAATAGTCCACGTTCTTTGAAATAACAGCCATTTCGAGCCGCGTACTTTCCATAAGTGCAGCTCTGCGTTATACTGGATCAGAGCCGAGACAGCGGCGCCCAAACCCGCAACAGCTCCGGCACCTTTGCGCACAGAGAACTGCTGTTGTAATCTTCCCATTCTGTGCTGCGGGTTAACCCTTTAGGCGCCAGAGTTTTGACGGCTTGTTCACATGGTCAGAGCAGCGAGTTACACGCCGCGTCTCGCAGGTCTCCGCTAAAGTTTAAAAGTGATGTGTGTGGATCTGATCTAATGACAAGGACCAGCAGCACAAACAGGTTTCATGTGTTTGACTGGGGCCGCGAGGATTCTTTGGGCTGCGAGACAGACCGGTATGTGTGTGTGTACAATACATGTATGTATGTGTGTATATGTCTGTGTGTGTGTACAATACATGTATATGTGTGTGTGTGTAAATATAAGCTCCAATGTAGTTCTGACCTGCACTAGTGTGGAACTTTGGCGGTAACAGAGGGGAGAGATGATGCGTGTGGATGTTACGTATGGAGAGGGGGAAAGTGTGTGTGTGTGTGTGTGCGCGCGCGTGCGTGTGCGCGTGTGTGCATATGTGGAGCGTGCGCCATGAAAGTCGCCCGTAGTCTACTAATGCATTGGCGCACACAGCTAGATACGACCCGCTCGTCACATCGTACAAATAGGGCTTAAAATATCCTTATTAAGAGACCGCCCCTCTCCGCTTTTTCTTATTTTTAACCGACAGCTTTGACCGGTTAACGCTGTGACGGTCAACCACCGGTTAACCGGTCACCGATTTACATCCCTATTGTAGCCACAGACAAAATTACATCCGTTGTCCCACATCCGCACACACAAACACACACTCATCCACCCTGAACTATTGTGGTAATATATTTAGTGGTAAGGGAAACCGGGGCCCCCGGATGAAACCTACGTAGACATGGGGAGAACATGCAAACTCCACTCAGAAAGGGATTCAAACCCAGAAACATCTTGCTGTGAAGAACCTTCTTGCAACTCGCATGAATTTTTTATTTTTTTGTAAATCGTACAATTACAGTAGTCCCGAACAAAGAAAATGATCTTATCTCAAAATACCATAGTGACATAATTATTATTCTAACAGGTTTGACGATAATTCACAGCTGGATTAAATTGTGTATTAAAAATTCACATTAACAAAGATATGTGCCATATTTCAAAATTTTCAAAGTGTAAAATTAGGTTTTATATAACGTCAAAGTATGATTATGGAAATGTAATGATATATGCAGTTATTTGAATTCAATGTTGAACCTGTGAGTGTATTTAAAAAGCTCATCTCTTTTATCGCACTCTCAAAAAGCTCTTTTTAACCACCCAGAAATATGTGACTGGCCTCAGTTTGAGTCCACTTCACCTCCTCCAAAGTAATGGTTGAACCCAGACCTGCTTTTAACTGCAAAAATATTCCACTTGTCAGTGCGACTTTTGGTTCTGGCTCAGATGTAATTCTAATAGAACTCAATGAGGTCCTTGCAGAAAGCAGTTTGTCCTGGGGTAACTCTCGGTGTGGGCTGAACTCTTGCAATGATCCACCCACTCCTCTCCTCATTGCCCTCGCCTCGACTTTTGAAAGAGATCTGCCATTTTTTAGGGAAATCTACCTCTGCTTCAGGGCGGTTCGAAGTAAAATATCCAACAGTGTTCTCCAGCAAAAGACCAGTTTGACTTGAAATGAAAGTAGTACTCACGAAACAAATTGGTATTAGCCTTCTATAAGTTAATAATAATAATAATAATAATGCTTGACACTTATATTGCGCTTTTTTGGACACTCTAAGACTTTTTACAAAATACATAAAATTAGAAGTTCAAAATTAAGGAAGGGCAAGCTGAAACAGGTGGGTAATGAGAAGTGATTTAAAGTTCTGTAGTGAGTCTGTTGGTTGTGGAAGTGAGTTCCAGAGAGTGGGGGCGGCTGCAGCAAAGTTGATTCTTATTTTTTAAGACCCAACAACGACACTGGATCAAAGAAGCAATAGAATTACGGTAACAAGCTTCCAGGACTATGAACCAGGAAAGTCAAACTGCAAATGGCGCTGTCCTGCCTCTAGTGGTCGCAAGACAGCAGCAAAAACTGTGTAAAACAGCTGACGAGACCTATGAATCTCAGCAGTTCAGGGTGTGGCTAGTACTGTGATGGGAGACACCAGGGAATACCATGTCCTAACAGTGGGGTGGCTACGGCTGTAGAGTACCAAACTGTGCTTGTGTTCTCAGGCCATACACTTTGCCTACAATGAGTCTGGTGTGGATGGTTGGTGGTGGTCGGAGGGGCCGATTGCACATACTGGTTGCCACGCTTCTGCCAGTGTGCCCCAGGGCAACTGTGGTTAAAGTAGTGGCTTATCACCACTGTGCATTGAGTGAAAAAATAATAAGCATCTTTGAGTGTCCAAAAAAGCATAATATAAAACCAACGCAATAATTAATAACGTTATATTACTCTAGTCTGACTTTGTACACCCTTAAACCAGCTTTAAACATGCATGCTTATTTTCACGGCGCCATATTTACTTTGCCATAACACAATTGCAACAGCGAGCAGAAGGACTCAACATTTTAGTTCCAGAACAAATGAGTAGAACACACAATGTGAAAAGTCATTATTTCAAACCGACAAAGTCACATTTGATTACGGGTTCATAAATAGCTGTTTACATTCATGCGTGGCTGCTCATGCTTTAAATGGGAGAAAGTCCAGGGTCCAACTGTGGCGTAAAGTTTCACACCTCATTACACTCCAGCTGTATTCTCTTCTGTGTGTTATCAAGGCTTTGTTTAGTGGTTTAGGGAGATGCAGGTGTGTTCAGAGACAAGGGGGATTCATAGTGTCCTGTATCTGTCACAAATGTGGATTTATACTGCTACGGGAAAGAGAGAGAATGAGAGAGAGAGGGGAAGATTCATGATGATAATGCTGTAAGAATGAGTTGTTCCCAAATGAGATATATTATGCAAAATCAATGTTATCTACTTGTTGCTTGATATATGAGGCATAAACCAAATATATAAAGAAATGGTCATTCAATGAGACTGAACAGTTACAGGATACATACAGAAATCATAAAAAAATAAATTATCAAACTTTTTTACAGACACAGGGTCCAGATACCAAAAGACATGGCCAAAAATACATACACATAAAGACACAGGATGTGAGTACTGTGGTTGCAGCCGGTAATTTTCAAACTTGGATAAAATATCAAACATATTCAACACCTCTGGTGGTAGAGTAGAGAAAAGGCATGCCGATAGCATTTTCACCTTTGATACTTGCTTCACTATATATTTTCTACTGAATGTATTATCTCACACACTAAAGCATGAAATGGTACAGTCAATAATCTAATTGTGATTTTAATAGCCAAAAATGATCCGTAATATTTATTCTTTAGGGTGCATGCGCATTACACGTTTAATTGAAATTCAAATATGTTTCAATCCAATCCAATCCACTTTATTAATATAGCTCATATCATATAGGAGCAGTTCTTTTTCTAACTTCGTTCGGTGTTTCACTATGGGAATCGCCTTGGGCGTGACCATCCATGGAAGCTCCAATGGCACCACGTCTGTCTTTTGACAGACAGGTTGACAGTACCTAGCACCGCCCAACTACCCTGGTACAGTCAACATCCTCCTTTTGGAATCATTCTCGCTTTCTTCCCGCGTGGAAACCATATCTTTTAGCTCCTTCAGCGTTCTCGGACCTTAGGCTAGCTTCTGCTTAACAGTTCACAGACGAGCCGTAAAGGATTTCGTTGGCGAGCGCAGTTGCTGGTGCTTTGGTTCATCGACGCTGGGTAAGTCCTTACAGTCTTACCGCTAAGCTATTATTATTTTGTTACCGGAGCAGTAACCGCGTCAAGGCAAACTGCTCTTGTGTTTACGGGGACAGATCACATTAAGTTGCGGTCTGTCCTATCACCTTGCGGTTAGCATTCACTTGTTAACCCAGGGCTCTCGCGTAAAGCGGAGTCCTTCTGTTCGGTTGGTTAGTATTAATTTACTGGCCAACAGATTGTAGTGCGCGGTTCTGTTAACGTGTTGTGGCGAACAGAATTTGCCTGGACCTGATTTTTCGACTTAAAACCCGAATTGTCTGGTTCATACAATCGTGCTCACTCCATCTCTGCTCTCTGTCAGGCATGTCTACGGCTACCACCCCCGCCAAAGGGTCGGATCCGAAGCCGAAGGAGGCTGCATCCCGCTCATGCCCTGCGTCATGCGGGTCTGCCATCTCAGGCAGGGACCCTCACCCAGTGTGCATAACCTGCATGGGCGCTAAACACGCTCAGGCAGCGCTCGCTGACCGCGAGTCCTGCGGGTATTGCTCATCTATGCCTGAGAAAATATTGGAGAGAAGGCTCAGAGTTGCGGTGGCTCATCCCCAGGACCCGTTGCTGGCGGGGACCACCGATAAACCCACAGCTGTCACTCAACAGCCCCGTAAGACTGAACTATGGTCAGATATGCTGAATGACGATGACGCTGATATGCCGCCATTATTCGAGGACCTGCTCGAAGTGGACCCAGGCGACGAGGGCGCAGACGGCAATGATGCCGCTTCTGACTTCCTCGAGGCTGTGGATATGGATGATGTGGAGGAGGACTCTACATTCCCAGCGGCCCAGTCCCGACCCTCCAGCGCATCTGAGGCTGCGACTCCCGTCGATAGCAGCCTATATGATGTGTGCAAGCGCGCTGCCGCCAAGCTTAACATAACCTGGCCAGCCGCTGTAGATGCGGAGGATGGAGAAAGGGATTTATATGACGGTAAACGGCTCCCGCCAGCGCATCCACCTCCGAAGCAACTTCTCCCTGCTTTCAGCGCGTGCATGAGAGAGGTGGGAAGGTTTTGGAATAACCCACTTAGGAGCAAGCTTCCTGTACAGGGCTATTCAAAGCTGGAGATCCATGGGATGAAGGAGCTGGGGTTGGCCGAACCCCCAGCGGTGGAGCCTTCAGTGGAGAGTTACATCCTCCATTCTGCAACGCATGTACAGATATGCTTCTCAATCTGCATGCGTACTGAATACTGTGACTTTACTGTTACTACTTGAGGAAATGGGACAACAGCTGGACTCTGGGTCTCCTAACCCGGTCCTCTGGGAGGAAATCTGCGTGGTAAATGACCTCATCCTACGCTCTACTCGTGGAGCTGTCCAGGGCTGCGGCCATGTCATGGGACTGGCCGTAGCGGGTGAGAGGGGTCTATGGCTCAACCACTCAGGTCTGACAGACGCTCAGAAGGCTGAAGTTATGGACACTGCTTATGACCCTACCAAAGGTCTATTTGGTCCGGCCCTGGAGAAGATGAAGGAGACCAGTACCCTCCGTAAAGAGGAGGGTGCGGCCTTTAATCTTTGTCTGCCAAGGAAACGACCTCCTCGTCCAGCGCAGCCCCAGAGAGCGGGCCCCTCTGGACAGACAGGCCCCAGGGTTCCCAGGGCGGGCCCTGGGCCGCAGAGGGGGGCAACCCAGCACCCTGGCCAGCATTCCAACCAGCATTCTGGCCAGCAGCAACGGCCAGGCAACTCCAGACCATGGGGAAAACACTCCTATGCTGCGGCTGCAGCAAAAAAACGCTCTTCTCAGCCCGGGGAGAGCAAAAAGAAGCGCAATTCCTAGCAATCAAGCTTCTTCACCTGTTCCCCCTCTGAAAAGGAGGAGAATGGACCCTGGTACCAGTTCAGAGGCCCCGCACAGTTCTCCAGGCGACCTCTCTGGCTTTCTCTCCCCTCGCACGTTACAGGGAATGAGTCTTGGGTCTCATGTTCACAAAACACTTTTTCAAAAAAAAATAAAGTTGTTAAACTCGCATCCAGGCCAAGGGCTAAGGGTGAGTTATCAATCAAACAAAAAAATTCAATTAAGTTTGGATCATTCCCTTCGTTCGCCTCCAGAGGGAGCTCACGCTCCTTCTCAGGCAGAAGGCTCTGCTCCTCTCAGGGGAGAGACGTCACCAGGGATTCCCCTGGTGCAAGCCCCACTCTCTGTCAGAGCGGAGCAGTGGCGCGCATGCGCAGTCAATCCTTGGGTTCAATCCACTGTTTCTCGAGGTTACAGACTGCAGTTTGCTATAAAACCACCCTCCTTCAACGGAGTACTTGTTTCAGTGGCTTCAGGGGACACAGCCCGTGTCTTACAGGACGAAACTACATCCCTGTTAAGCAGGCACGCTATCCGCATTGTACCAGAGAGCGAGTCTCAGCTGGGCTTCTACTCCCGCTACTTTCTGGTTCCAAAGAAGGGCTCTCTGTCACTGCGTCCCATTCTAGACCTCCGTGTTTTGAACACACATCTACGGAGATTCAGATTCAAAATGTTGACGCACAAAGCTCTGTGTCGTTCAATACGCAAAGGGGATTGGTTCACCACAATCGATCTTGCGGATGCATATTTCCACATCGAGGTGCATCCAGCGAATAGGAAATTTCTCCGTTTTGCTCACGGGGGAACAGCGTACGAGTACCAGGTCATTCCCTTCGGTCTCTCCCTAGCCCCACGGGTGTTCACCACTTGTGTGGAGGCAGCTCTGGCTCCTCTCCGGGCCAGGGGAATACGGATATTCTCTTATATAGACGATTATCTGATATGCGCCAGTTCACAGGGCGCCGCAGTGAGAGAGACTGCCACAGTGCTCAGTCACTTGACCAGCCTGGGTTTCAGAATAAACCACGCAAAGAGCCGGTTGGAACCCAGACAGCAGACTCAATACCTGGGTTTATGCATAAACTCTGTTTCACATCGAGCCACACTGACAGACGAGAGACGGCTGTCTCTCACTCGCTGCTTGGCGTTTTTCAACCCGGGTGCGACAGTCACGTTCAGAATGTGCCTGCGCCTCGCTGGTCTCATGGCGTCAGTAATATCTGTCGTGCGCCTAGGGCTTTTAATGATGAGACCCTTTCAACGTTGGATTACAGCGTTGCGCTTGTGTCCCAAACGTCACCTTCACCGCAGAGTGAAGGTGGATTCCCAGTGTGTTATTGCACTACGTCCGTGGCGGGAGGCTCATCATGCTCTTTCAGCCGGAGTCCCGCTGGGCGCCGTGTCGTCAAGGGTTACCCTGACAACCGACGCTTCCCTGTCAGGGTGGGGGGCCACTCTGTCGGGTCGGACGGTGAATGGGACCTGGGACCCATATCTAGCTCTGAAGCATTTTCTGCCTTTCCTTCAGGACCATCACGTTCTGGTGAGAACAGACAATGCAACAGTTGTCTTGTACATAAATCGCCAGGGTACCCGCTCTCTTCAGCTGCACAGGCTGGCACAGAGGGTGATTTTGTGGAGCGACACAAGGTTCCTATCTCTCCGAGCGTCTTATGTTCCAGGCGTCCTCAACAAGGGGGCCGACCTGCTATCGAGGGGAAACCCCCTGTATGGAGAGTGGGTTCTCCACCCTCAGGTGGTGGAGCAGTTGTGGCGGAGATACGGTCGGGCTGCCGTAGATCTCTTCGCCTCGCGGGAAAACGCAAAGTGCCCACTGTTCTTCTCTCTGGGAGACGCAAACGCGTCTCTGGGCGTGGACGCTCTGGCCCACCCGTGGCCGACCGTTCTACTATATGCGTTTCCTCCCATCAGTCTGATCTCACCCACCCTAGCGCGGGTGAGAGAACAGAGGCTGTCGCTCATTTTGATTGCTCCCCGTTGGTTGTCCAAGCCATGGATGGCGGAGATAGTGCAGCTTTTATGGGACAACCCATGGCCTCTTCCTCTGCGGAGGGACCTGTTGTGCCAGGCGGGCGGGGAGATTTTTCATCCTCACCCAGACCGGGTGGCTCTCTGGGCCTGGCCCGTGAAAGGTGGAACTTGAACGCCACGGGTCTTCCGGCGCCTGTTATAGATACTATACAGTGTGCTAGGGCCTCCTCCACTCGCTCTTTGTATAGCTGCAAGTGGCAGGTTTTTGAGGAATGGTGTGGGGCTAGACAGATCATCCCGTTTCAATGCTCCGTGTCTGACGTCTTATGTTTTTTACCACATTTGTTAGAAGAGCGTAAGGCTTTTTCTACTATAAAGGTCTATTTGGCTGCCATATCGGCGTGCCACGTGGGTATCGGTGACAAAACTGTGGGACAGCACCCTCTAGTTTGTCGCTTCATGAGGGGTGCACAACGTAAACTTCCAGTGGTTAAGTCCCTGGTTCCCTTGTGGGATTTGTCGGTCGTGCTTGATGCCCTTTGTCATCACCCTTTTGAGCCCTTAGGGGCTGTGGCCTTGAAGTATGTTGCTTATAAGACAGTTCTGCTTCTTGCTCTGACGTCTGCAAAGCGCGTGAGTGAACTACAGGCTTTTTCTGTCAGCCCCTCGTGTCTGCAGTTTGCGCCGGGGTTATCTAAGGTGCGCTTGCGCCCTAACCCGGCTTTTGTACCAAAGGTGGATTCTGCATATAGCTGCCCTACACTGGAGCTTAATGCCTTCCATCCTCCGCCTTTCTCCTCTGAGGAGGAGCGGCTACTGCACTTTTTGTGCCCAGTGCGCGCGCTGCGGGTATATGTTGACAGGACAGCTGGTTTAAGGAAAGCCGACCAGTTGTTTGTGTCCTGGGCTTCTCCCCATTTGGGAAAGCTGGTGTCCAGTCAGAGGATCTCTCACTGGATTGTGGAGGCAATTTCTCTGGCCTATACCTGCAGGGGTGTAGTTCCACCGCAGGGGTTGAGGGCACACTCCACCAGGGGTGTTGCCACTTCTTGGGCCCTGTTCCGAGGTGTGTCTGTCCAGGATATATGTGCGGCGGCCAGCTGGTCATCGCCGCATACCTTTGTTTGTTTTTATCAACTGGATGTCTCTGGCTCCTCTTTGGCTCAGGTAGTCTTGGAACCAAGTGCTTCTGGTACTGTTTGAGGTCACCGTCTGGCGCCTCGGTGGTCCTTTTGCTTCAGGAGCAGTCCTTGCAATACGGGAGTTGTCCATATCTCCCATAGTGAAACACCGAACGAAGTTAGAAAAAGAACTTAAGGTTACTTAACGTAACCCCGGTTCTTTGATAACAGAGTGAGGTGTTTCACCTTCATTACCCTCCTTGCAAAGCGGTCAGAAAGCGCTTTTGAATGATTCCAAAAGGAGGAGGTTGACTGTACCAGGGCAGGTGGGCGGTGCTAGGTACTGTCAACCTGTCTGTCAAAAGACAGACGTGGTGCCATTGGAGCTTCCATGGATGGTCACGCCCAAGGCGATTCCCATAGTGAAACACCTCAATCTGTTATCAAAGAACCGGGGTTACGTTAAGTAACCTTAAGTTTCCAAAGTGCAGTACAATAAGCAAAAATAACAAGACATAAATACTCACATATGTAAAATTCTAATAAAAACACAGAAGACCACACAACTCACACAGTGTTAAAAGCCATAGGATAAAGAAAATGGTTTATGTAGGAATGAGCAGTTGAATCTGTTGATGTAAGGTCATAAATGCTTGAAATGAATTACCCTTGTATTGATCTGAAAGAGAAAATAAATCCGATTATTATTGAATTTCTTTTGTTCGGACAAGTCAATTAAATTCAGACTACAAAGTGTAAATAGTGACATAATTAGAGAAAAAGAGGCATGACATAAAACTAACACTCTTGTATTGTTGTGTTTTTGCAAGTTTTATGTTTTTACTTTTTTTGGAAGAGATTATTTTTGAGTAGTTGCATATTCCAGCAAAAAATCTCAACTGTGAGGCAGACACCACGCCGGCAATTACTCGCAACATATGGCATTCTGAAAATCAGTGTTGCTGCTTCATCCATCTTTTAATTAATGAACACAAATCAAACAAAATTGCGTTAATTGGAGAAACTCACCTGATTCAGATTTCTCTCATCTCCCACAGTTTACCACATGTTCCTCCTCACTCAAACTCGCACCTGGTTTAGGAGATCCAAATTAAATTCCAAATGCTCTTACAGCAATAACTAACATACTCAAGTGAAACTATTTTTGCTCAAAAGTTGATTTATTTCTGAAATTAAGGTCAAGATTCAACTTAAAATGTGACCATAGACTCTTTGTTTGTTACTGTTTTAATGGTTAATTTCAATGTCAAAGATTTCCAAAATATATATATTTTTTAGATGTTTTCAAGTTGTCAGCGATTTATCAACATTATAACAAAAACAGGCTTTATCTGTCTCACTTTGGACTTGTGACCAATGTTCTAATTCAATTTGGAGAGACGAGAAACGAAATGGTTATGAGTATTTATTGAGGTGGTTTGGCGCCCTAGGCCCCGGTGCGGCCTTCAGATCGGAGAGGCTCCTGCGATGGAGCGCGTACAATCCCCCGGGACCTAGGCACTGGTGGCGGCATTTTGGCAGATTGGAGGCAGATTGGAGGCAGATTGGAGGCAGATTGGAGGCAGATTGGAGGCAGATTGGAGGCAGATTGGAGGCAGATTGGAGGCAGATTGGAGGCAGATTGGAGGCAGATTGGAGGCAGGGTGAAGAGGAGGAGGAGGGGAGGCGGTGGTTGCGAGGCTTCGAGAAGGCCGAGAGGTGGAGTTGCTCCGCTTTTAAGCGGCTGCCTGTCCGGCACGGATGATTGGAAGGGGGCGTTTGCTGAGCTATAGGCTGGGGAAGCGAACCGGCCTGGAGGGGGTAGCTTTTGGCTGACGTCTACCAAATTGAATTTTCGCGAGCTACATTTCAATTTGGAGAGACGAGAAACGAAATGGTTATGAGTATTTATTGAGGTGGTTTGGCGCCCTAGGCCCCGGTGCGGCCTTCAGATCGGAGAGGCTCCTGCGATGGAGCGCGTACAATCCCCAAAAAGGCTGTGTGTGTTGATGGAGTTTTGCAGCCTGGTTTGCAGGGGACAGACGTCGTGCTACTCTATGCTGTGACCGCTATCGCTATGCTGTGACCGCTATCGCTATGCTGTGACCGCTATCGCTATGCTGTGACCGCTATCGCTATGCTGTGACCGCTATCGCTATGCTGTGACCGCTATCGCTATGCTGTGACCGCTATCTCTATGCTGTGAACCGTTTTGCGCTAACCATTTTTTTGCTATGCTGTGACCGCTAACACTAACGCTATGACCGCTACCACTGACGCTATGACCGCTATCACTGACGCTATGACCGCTATCACTGACGCTATGACCGCTATCACTGACGCTATGACCGCTATCACTGACGCTATGACCGCTATCACTATGTGCTGTGACCGTTATATGCGGTTATCTTTGAGTGCCGGGACGTGAGCGCTCGCATCACGATCAACCGGACGCTGCGGCAGGGTTATCTTTGCGCGCTGGGAACGTGAGCACTCGCATTACGTTCCGTCAGACGCTGCGGCAGCGGAGAGTATTTGAGAGAAATGCGTGCCGCCACCAGAATCTTATTGGTTCACTTACTTTGTTTGAGATGAAGGTTGAAAGGGTCAGGGGACATAATGTTGGGTGAAAGAGAGCGACCTTTGTGTAAGCTTCCACTACGTCGAGATTATCACACATGACCGAGATCCTCTTTCTCCGCCACGCGTGATTCCACAGCGCGCAGGCCACGACCACTGGGAATATCTCGTGTAGGGCAGAGGAGATGCTCCGGTGGAAAGTAGCGGCCACGGCCCGGCAAACCAATGGTCCTGGAAGAATCCCCCAAAACCCACGGAAGGGGCACGTCCGTGTAGAAGCGGAGACCTGGAGGGGCAGAGACATGTCGGAGAGGGCCATTGATGTTGCAGGCGCCCTTACGCTTAGAATCTTGGGTTGGAGAGTAGATAATCAGGATAGTAGGATGGTCGGGAAAGCCGTGTCTCGGACCGCACGAAGGTTGAGTGAGCAGTAGTAAAACGCTTATGCAGAGAAGCCATGGAAGGCGAGCAGGAAGATGCTGCGAGGAGGGCAGACATGTACCTGAAAGATGAGCCGGAGTTCAGTGCCGCTGCAGGATGGGCAGCATGATTGGGAGCCTGCGATCAGAAGAGTGAAGAACACAGGTATGGATGCCTTTGATTAGGAGTCCGATTGACGGCTCAGCGCAGCTACTTGGCCAGCTGCATCTGATGGATCAGAAGATTCAGTAGAGAGATGAAGCATGACCGCCGAAGCGACCCTGGGAGCACAGGTGCGAGTCCAGTGCAGCGCGGCATACTCTGCCGGGCTGCCTCCATTAGAAGCAGGATAAGCTTC